TCTCTAAAAAAACAAAAAAAAGCTTATATTTAATTAGGTTATGGTGGTTTATCACTTTCAATTGAAGGTCCATCAAAAGCGGATATTGAATGTCATGATAATGAAGATGGTTCATGTCTTGTTACATATAAACCAACAGAACCAGGAATTTATATTATTAATGTTAAATTTGCTGATAAACATGTACCAGGTTTGTATTTAATTACCAAAAAAAAGAAAAAGAATAAATCTTATTTATACTTATCTGTAGAAGTTATGATCAATATAATCGTATCTCTATGAGAATTTTTTTGATCTTAATTATAACCTTGAAAAAGAATTATTTCACGCATAAAGCCTAAATAAATACCTAACGCTTGTTTGACTAAATTACTTTAGCCAATGAATACGTCATTTTGTTGTCGTCTCTTGTTTGAGTTTTATTTTGATTGATATCATCTATTAGATGATTCGTTGAGACTTAGTTAACAATCTAATTATACTCATTGATAATATCAACTCTGAGACCTAATAAACCTTGGTTTTTTTTTTTTCGTCTATAATTAATCTTTTTTGTTTTTCTTATCTTAAAGGAAGTCCATTTACGGTCAATGTTGGTGGCCAAGGATCTGGTCGACTTAAAGAAAGTATTATACGTGAACGTCGTGCTGTTGATATAACACATATCGGTAGTCAATGTGAATTATCACTTAAAATTCCTGGTACGTACTGTTCTACCTCATCGTTTTTTTCTTTTTTTTTTTTCTTATTTGTTTTTTTGCCCGTTTCCTATTTGGTCTATAAACAATATTAGTAGGAGGAAAAGGAAAAGGAAAAGAAATGCCTGAAAGGATTTATCTGTTTGTCTGTCTATAAATGTCTCAAACATTTATTATCAGTGGTTTCTCCAACGACATCGTTAACAATATTATCTATGATGATGCTAGCTACTTTTCTGATAGATGAGATTTTCTCACTCGACATCAACAGAAAAAAAACGTAGGAGGAGTAGGATAACGACGACGACAAATATAGGACAAGAAAAAGAAAAACGAGAGAAAGAATTCTTTACATCGTATCATCAACTGTCGTTCGTTCCATTGATGATTAGAATAAATCTATGTTTATTTCGGTGTCGATGTTAAGACAACTGCTAGTGTTATTATAGCAACAAAAAAAAAAAAAAAAAAAAAAAAGAAGAAAGACCGAAAGGCCTACATATACATATACATATAAACATACCACCAAGAAAGAAAGCTACCACCACACATACGAAGCAGTTACTTAACAAAAGATACCCATAACCAAAAAAAACAATAACAACAACAACAATAAGATGTATCTTAGTGGTAACCTTCCGACAAGTACAAATAGTGGTGAACGTCGTTCATCATATCAATCTTATTCAATGTCACAAGTAAATAATGAAAAACCAATTGTTCATCGTGAACATGAAGAACAAAGTCAAGCATGGGGACAACCATTAACATCATCATCACCAACATTCTATCCAAGCAATATTGATTCTGATAGAAATTTTCAATTGGCTAATCGTCTTAATTCAAGTTCATCATCTGTATTTGATCGTAATAATGCTATATTAAGTGATAGTATGGCAATGAAACAAAAAATGAATACATCATCATCATATTCAAAAATGAGTAGTGCAACACGACAAAATCAAACAGGATCACAACATTTTCATACTGTACCCTATTTTCATGGTTTTAAATTTCAAACACTTCCAGGTTTTTATTTTTGATAATTTTAGATAATAAGAGAAAAGAAATAGAATGTTTTTTTTTGTAATTATCTATTTAAATATTCTATTTTTTTTTTGTGTGTATTTTAATTTAGGCACTTCACCATTTGATATGAGCGCTTATGTTACAAGCCCATCGGGACATTTAGAAAATTGCGAGATTGTGTAAGTAGAGAATTATTTGATATCAAAAAAAAAAACAAGTTTTTCTTTTGAAAATTATTCTATTAGTGATCTCGATGATTGCAATTATTCAATTAAATTTATACCAAAAGAAATGGGTGTTCATACAGTTAGTGTTAAACATAAGGATATGCATATACCAGGCAGTCCTTTTGGTAAAATAGATTTTTTTGTTTTTTCTTACAAAAATAAAATATTATTTTTTACTATTATATAGAATTTACTGTTGGTCCCATACAAGGCGGTGGTGCTCATAAAGTTCGTGCTAGTGGAAATGGTCTTGCACGTGGAGAAATTAATATGACTAGTAAATAAAAATATATACGAAAATATTTTTTTTGTATTAATATAAAAAATTTTTTTTTTTTTTTAAGATGAATTTAATATTTATACACGTGAAGCAGGTGCTGGTGGTCTTGCTATAGCAATAGAAGGACCAGCTAAAGCTGAAATAGATTTTTTTGATCGTAAAGATGGTTCATGTGGTGTATCATATGTATGTCCTGAACCAGGTGAATATCAAGTATCAATTAAATTTAATGATGAACATATACCTGATTCACCATTTAATGTTTTAATTGGTTCACCATATGGTGATGCTAAAAAATTAACAGTACATAGTCTTCAAGCTAAAGGACATGAAGTTAATCGTCCATGTATGTTTACTGTTAATGTAAGTGGTGCACGTGGTCGTCTTGATGCTCGTGTAACAGCACCAAGTGGTGCTGAAGATGCTTGTATTGTACAAGAAATGGGCGATGGTAATTTAATATATAAAATTTAAAAAAAAATAAATAAAACAATTTTTGTTTTTTGTTAAGAACATTATGCTATTCGATTTGTACCACGAGAAAATGGTGTTCATTGGGTACATGTTCGTTTTAATGGACGTGATATACCTGATTCACCATTTCGTGTTGTTGTTGGTCATGCTAATGCTGATCCTGGAAGAGTATTTGCATCAGGTTCTGGTTTATATACAGGCGAAACAGGTAGATATATTGTAAAAACAAAAAAAAATGATTATTTTTAATTATATTTAAGGTCTTCCATGTGAATTTTTAATTGATACAATGAATGCTGGTGCTGGTGCATTAGCTGTTACTGTTGATGGACCATCAAAAGTTCAACTTGATTGTAGAGAAGTATCAGAAGGTAAAAACAAAAAAAACCTTCTTTTTTTCTGATGTTATTCCAAATACATTATTAGGTTATCGTGTAAGCTTTACACCAACAGCACCCGGCGATTATCTCATTACGATTAAATTTGCCGGAATTAATATTGCTGGCAGTCCATTTAAGTGTTTAGTCGGAGGTAATTATTTTTCATATATATATTCTATTAATCAAAACAATATTTATTCTTATTTTATATTTAAGGTATGAATTTAAATGCTAGTCGTGGTGGTTTAGGTACAATGAGTACATCATCATCATATGTTCAACGTTCACAAGGAAATTTAGCAAGTCATTCAAAATATGATACTGTTGAACAATCATCATCATATGCATCAAATGCACGAAGTAATTATGTTAGTATAGATGCAACTCGTGTACGAGCACATGGTGAAGGTTTATTACGTGCTTATCGTAATGAAAAAGCTACATTTACAGTTGATACACGTGATGGTGGTAAGATTTTATATAGATATATATTAAACAAAAAAATACTTTCATCTATATATTTTTAATAAAGGAAATGGTATGTTAATGGTAGGTGTATTTGGACCAAAATATCCATGTGAAGAAGTATTTATTAAACATATTGGAAATAATCAATATAATGTTCAATATGTAAATATTTGTTTTTTTTTTTTTTTATTTTATATACGAAATATATTTGTTGATTTTTATTTTTTTTTAGACTGTACGAGAAAGAGGTGAATATATGTTGGTTGTTAAATGGGGCGATCAACATATTCCAGGTTCTCCTTGGCATATTGAAGTTGTTTAAGAAAATAATATATCAAACAAATATATTGCATCGAACAAGAATTCTAAAAAAAAAAGTTCTCCTTCTTTTTTTTCTTTTTATTTATATGCATATATGCTAGAGAATTTCATTCTTTTCTTTTCTTTTTTTTTTCTTTTATTTTCTCTCTCATTGAGTAGTTTTGTTATACTCTTGTGTGTGCACGCATGCTCAAACTACTCGTCTCTCTCTCTCTTTCTTTTATTACTTTTATTAGTCAAGGTGCTATGATGTGTGAAATGAGTTAGAGAAAACAAAACAAAATGAATCAGCATTGTTCTCGTTTCTACATCTACTATTTGTTTGGTCAATCCTCCTTTTTCTCTCTCTCTCTATAGTTGGTCTATATCTTTGTTTTTTTTTTTTTTTATATTATAAAGAAAAATAATTTGTTCTATATACATAGATTTGCAACAAAAGAAAAAAAAAAAGTACCTTTATCCCTATCGATTTGCTTTGTCTCCGTTTGTGTTAATTCATGTTTTTTTTTTTTCATACGTATTTTTTTCTATTAAAAAAAGATTTTAATGAATAAGTCGAGAAAATCTCTCTCTCTCTCTCTCTCTTGCTGAGAAAAATTATTTTGTTTTGTTTTTTTTCCTTTTTTTTTTTCTTTTTTGTCAATAATTTCGATTAATTAGTTTTGTCACTATTCTTCCCCTTGAGTAATATTTATTTATTCATTGCTTTAATGCAGTTTATGATGAATGTATACATGAAAACATACTTGTTTTATTCATGATCAATATGTGAATGTAATTAAGGTTTCATCAACAAGAAAAAAAAGGAAAGAAATGATGATTTTATTATCGTACAACAAAAATAAAATAGAAAAATAACAAAAGAAAAAAAGACAACGTCAAATGTAATAAAGGATGTTGTTTGACTTATATCTTCCTATTCTATCTATCTTCATAGATAGCAAATTGAAGAAGATTACATGCCATTCTTTTCTATTCTATCGTCCTTTGGTTGTCTGTCAAGGAAATAATAATAAAAATGAGATGCTTTCATTTATTTCCAACAGCTTATTTTGCTCTTTAATAAAACATATCATATATTGAGCAATTATTATTTGTCTATAATTCTATTAAATATTTTCTAATGCATTCATCTTTATTACAAAAACGTCTAAATAATATATCTGATTCAATATCATCAAATAATGAATCTTTAACATCATCATGTTCATCAACACCAACACATTCTACAACATGGCTTGAATCACCATTAATAGATTTACGTATAATGAATAATGAACATCGTAATAAAGTTTTTGAACTTGTTACTGAAATATTTTTTCGTGATGAACCATTAAATAAATGTCTTGCATTTAATCTTCCATATGAACCAATTGAATTTATTGAATATGTTATAAAAATTGCTTTAGAAGATCAATGTTCATTTGTTGCTATTGATATTCAAACACAAAATATAATTGGTGTTATTATAAATATTATTAAACATCGTTCAATAATAACAACAATAAATAATAATCAAAATAATTTTAATATAAATAATTTTCAATCAGAAAAATTACGTTTTATATTAAATATATTACAACATGTACATGATAATATTGATTTATTTAAAGAATTAAATACAGATCATTTATTACATATTGTTATTATAGCTATTGATGTACATTATCGTGGTTTAAGATTAACAGAAAAATTAATACATGCAAGTTTAGAACATGCAAAAAATAAATTTAATATTAAAGGTGCTTTTTCAGAAGCAACAAGTCTTTATTCAGCTAAAGCATTTTATAAACAAGGTTTTCAAAAATATAATGAAATTATTTATATTAAATATGATAGTATACGTTTAGCTAGTCTTGTTGGAGAACATGATCGATGTCAATTACTTGCTAAACAACTATAACTATTATTTTTCCTTTCAATGTTGTCTTTTCGTTTTTTTTTTCTTTTTCGTGTTTGTTCTGCTGTATATTGGGAGAAAAAGAAAATGTGCTCGGGTGTGACCATAGTTTCGGTTCAATGATTTGATTTATTATTCTTTATGATAGAAAAAAAAAGAAATTATTCATAAACATACATATATGTATATATGTAGTATAGAAAAATAATAGTAGTGGTATAAAAAAAGAAAAAAAAAATTTGTTTTGACTTATTATTTACATGAAATAATTTAATTAACAAAATTAAACTATATCTATGCGAAATTCATCAGAATTTACTATACAAACTGATAATAAATTGAGATCGACTTCAATTAGTCATGGTCAATTTCATCGTTTACGTCGTATAGCTTTTTGGTCATGTATTATATCATTTATATTTAATATTACACTTGGTTTAACAGCATTTATTAATTGTATGCGTACAAAATCTTTTGTTGGTTTTTCATTTTCTGTTCATGCATTAATGGACTCATTATGTGCAAGTTTTGTATCATGGCATTTAACAGCAACATCAATTCCTGATGTTCATCGTCGTGATACACTTGCTTGTTGTGTTATTGGTGCATTATTTATTGGATCATTTCTTGCTATTGAAACACGAGCAATACAAAGTATGATGTCACCACCTACAGTACGACCTGATATAACAGTTGTTATATATTCTTTAATACATATTATTGTATTTACAATATTATCAATAATAAAAATAATTATTAGTAAAAAAATTAAATCAACAGCATTAAAATTTGATGCAATTAATTCTATTATTGGTATTATTATGGTATTACCACTTTTAGTTTGGGATCGTGTTGTATTTATAAATAAATTTACACATCTTGATGATCTTGTACAAGTATTAATTGTTTTATTTTTATTTTTAGCTGGTGGTAAATTAATATTAGATTCTATAACAATAATGAATATTGAATATGCACGTAAATTACGTGAAGATAAATTAAAAAGGATGTTAACAGAACCTGATGATAATGATTTTGAAAGATTAAATGGTGGTAATTATATTATTGGTACTTAACAAGTCTCTTTTTTGTTTTGTTTCTTATATGACTTAAAATCGATAAGTATAGAATGAATTTGAACAAAAAACAAAAGAAACAGTTGTGTTTGCAAGTGAATATTCATGTGTCAAAAAAAAAAAATTATTAGGATTTATTTTCTTTTGATTAAAATAATAAAACATTATAAAAATCAAAATCTATATTTCAATTAAATATATTAAAAAGTTCATAACTACACACACAAAATAAAGTATAACATCATGATATTACTATTTATAATTCAAATATATATATATATAGACAAAGTATCTTTCAATTTATTTTCATATTTGTAACATTACCAAATTCAATTATTATTCGATTGAATTTCGAACTTCATAAACAAATCAATTGTTTTTCTTAACATCTCATTAGAGATGTAAGTCGATTACTTGTGTCATAACCGAAAGCGAAAATAAAAATGTTAAATATTTCCAGCTGTTGTCGCAAGTCGACAGTAGGAAATGTTATAATAACTTTAGCCATCATCGTCAATTCTATATAAATGAAGCAACAAAAAAATCTTAGTAAATATATAATAGATATTTCTAATTTCATTTATAGAATATAGAGTCTACTCTAATCTTCGATTTATTTATATATATATTAGACTTACTAATTCGATTTTTTATTCAACAAATGAATGAATAGATATTTTGTATAATATAGAGTCCTAAAATTTATAAACTAATGATTGCACAATAGATGTCATTAAATAATTTTCTTTTTCGCACTTTTTATATTGGTTATTTCATAATATCGACTTTCAAACAAACGAACGAACGAAATAATTTTAATATTATTACAATTGAGATAAGTATTTATTCATTTATAAATGGAAAATGAAATTGATGCCGATGAATTAGCAGCAATACTTGCTGAAGATGAACAAGAACAAGAAGAATCAAAATCAAAATTATTATTTTCTGAACAAGCAGAAACAATGACATCTGAACAATTAGTTGAATTAACATGTTCACTTATTGATAAACCAATAACAACTAAAAAAAGTTCTACAGACAAATTTTCTAATATTGATATGAATGATTTATTTGAAAATAAAACATCAAAGTATGAAAATCTACATACGAATTGCATGACTCTATTTATATAAATTTAATTTTCAAAAAATTTAGAATAAAAATTTTGTATTTATATAATACATACAACCGAGCTTATAATAGATGTAACAGAATAAATGATGATCTCATTATTTTGATTGTAACTTTTTCATTCAATTTTCTATAAAAAATGAAAAAAATATCTAACATAATCTTTTAACTATCTGAATAAATAAAATTATGTTTTAATATAAATAAAAATATTTCTCAAAATAATAATCGATTTGAATATGTTCAGAGAATATATATTTAGTTCATATTAAAAGAAAATTTCAAGCTT